GTTCTTTGAACACATTCTAACTTTTTTTTCAATTTGCTGTCCCCGAACCAGATATAAATTCTACATTTTGCTTTGGTGGATTAAGAACAAAATATTCTCGAATTGTTGAATTCAAACTGACAGACCAACTCTAGCAGCCCTAAATAATTTCCAATTTTGTAAAGATCCAAATTTTTCATTTGTTCCTCTGAAAGCCAGACCTCGGCTATAGTGCAAATGACCGCTATTGCTTGCCTCAAAACATGTTCCCAGTAACTATACTCTTCATTTATTTGCTCTTCTAGCTTTTTTAGTTAACCGGAGCCTTGTCAACGAGTTAGGTATACTAACATGCAGTTTTTATGAGTAGCGCTTTGTTTCTGATTATCATCAATATAAATGTATTTTTCCAGTACTTGAACCCATTTTTATCAGCAAAACTTGTGGAACCTGTAGATGCAAAAAGTTTACAAACCAAGCAGTACACAGATCCCGTGAATGGTGAATACAATAACCACTCCCTCCTGTACTGCTCATCATTTGCTTTTGTGTCATAGAAAAGTTTTTGGGAACAATATCTTGTTATTTTTCCTCCAGCATAAATATGGCAAGATTTATCAAAGGGGCCAAAATGATGCTGACAGTTAGTAAGCTCACAGTCAACCCAGTAAGCCACATCATGAGCGGAAAAGTCAATCCACAGTCCTGGACCTATTGCTTGAATAATTTGATCATTTTCATCTTTATCATCTGCATCTTTATCATAATCTTCAGCAGACTGAAGAGGATTACACTTACAACAAATTTCATTATCAAGCTCTATTGCAGTGTCTGGATTTGCAGAACAGCCTATAGTAGACTTATCAAGAGGGCCGATAGTGTTAGTAAAATCCTGTTTTTCCTGCTGCTGATCTAAAACCTGTTAATTTTCTGCTCGTAGCTTTCACAACAGAAATAGTGTGCTCTTTTTCTTTAGCTTGTTTTTTCTGATCTATTATTAAAGCTGTTTTATCATTTGTTTTATGATTTTTATTGATCAGAATCAATAAAAATCATAAAACAAATGATAAAACAGCTTTAATATTAGTTTCACGTTGTTAATAAAAAAATATCATCAAGTGAAGTCGTTTAAGTGCAAAAAAAAAAGTTGATAAAGCGCGAAAAAAATAGTTAGTTTAAAAAAAAGCTAAATAGAAAAAACCAGCTCATTCATAGCCTTATTTTTAAGCATTCAAGATTGTATTAAACTTAAATATCAATTTTTATTATAATGTATTTCTTCATTTTCATAGCGCTTGTTCAATTTTGAGTTGTTTTGTTCAATTTTCAGTTGACATAAATTTGTTAAAAAAAAAATTTCTTGAGGACTTGTGGTGCCCCCAATCGCTTGGTGCCCAAGACAAATGCCTTGTTTGCCTGATGGTTAATCCTGGCCTGAATTCAATACTCATTGAACAGGGATCTCCAAAGACAATTAATTCTTTTTCAACTGTTATTTCTTCAACAGGAAGATTTTCTTCATGAGGAGCTCTTTCTTCATGGTGAGCAATTTCTTCATGAGGAGCAATTTTTTATCAGGAGCACTACGAACAACAAATTTATCCAATGACATGCATTTTGGGTTTTCTTAAACAAATTTTTCTTCTTTTTTTTTACGTTTAGAAGATCCAGACGGATATTTTCTATCCGTCTGGATCTTCTAAACGTAAAAAATTACAGATTTTACTGCTTAAATCAAAACTCATCTTGAAATTGTTTCAGTTCTTTTTTACACATAAAAAACTATTTATTGAAAGAAGTTAAAGAATAAATTAAATCACAACTTAAAATTAAAATCTTAAACTAAAAATATCATAAAAATTCATATTTTAAAAATAAACTAAACGTATATACCATCAGTGTAAATCAACAAATCATCTTCAAAATCTTCATTTTTACTGTTTTCTAGCTCATCTATAAAGTTCTGAATTTCTGATTCAGCTAAATGGCGACATTTGTGAGTCATAACTGTCATAACTATACATTTTTAACTAAACATTTGGCCAAAAGCTCTCGATAAAATGACTTAAATGTTTTTTCGGACCGCAAATTTAATAATTCATAATTTCAATTCCGAAATGAAACAGAACTTAAGGTTTTTGAGATTTTGTGTAAAACATGGAGGTAAATTTAAAAACATTTTAGTTCTTTTTTACCTAAAAAATTTTTAAATGAAATAAATATTTTTAAATTCTACTGTTACGTCAGAAAAGTTCTGATGGGCTTAAAAAATATTAAAAGCTGAAATTTTGGGGGCCCCAAAAATTTTGGGGGCCCAAGGCACGGGCCTAACGTGCCTTGTGGAAGATCAGGTCCTGCTTTTATTACATTAACACATTTATTAAAAGTTTTTAAAGAACTTTCCCACGCACAAATCTTAGTGAAATATTATATTTTATTTTAATTCCGAATTATCAGTACTTTTGCGTCGGCGAAATCTCATATCTAAATTTCAACGTAATTTCAACGATATTTCAACGTTTATTTTCCAACGTTAATTCAACGTTTGTTTTTTTTGTTGAAAATATAAACGTTAAAATTTCAATGTTTTTTTTTAAACATTGAACTAACGTTGAAATAACGTTGAAATTTAGATTGTTATTTTTAAACCGAATATCAACCATTTTGCAACGTTGAAATAACGTTAAAATAACGTTGTGTGCTTTCTAGGATGATAAGCAGACTTGATGCAGTGGGGTTAGAGTTCTGGCTCAGAACCAAGAGGTCCGTGGTTCGATGCCGGCTCTAACCTGATAAACGACATTGTAAAGAAAGGAGGCGTGAACTTCCAATTTAAGCGCTCTTTTGTGGTGCTCTGTGATAAGATCTTAAGGACTTTTAGAAGAGCCTTAATAACCACACCCAATCAAAAGATGCCATAGGAAACATTTAATTGCTAGTTTTCCACTACTGACTGATGATGGCACAGTGTTGCATACTTCTACTTTGACGATACTTGTTGCAAGTTTGTAAGTAATTCACCTACTTATTTTTCATTTAAAGCATCATACGTACTACAAAATTTGTTTACAATGACATTTGCTTTTTAATTGTAGTTATTGAGTTTTACAAATCATGTCAATATAGTTTAAGGAAATTTTTAAAATGTTATTGGTTTTAACAAATGGTTTTAACATGATACTTAATGTCTAACCTAAATCTTAATATAAATGTATTTTTGAATAAACTTTTAAACAAATTTTTAATAAATTACAACAACTCGAGACTAACAAATTTTGAGTAAAATACAGCAACCTTTAAATAAATTACATCAACAACAAAAACAATCTTTAACTGTTGCTCAAATAATCGTCCCAGTGGACACGGGACGTAAAATAGTCGTACTTTGAACGTCTTTTGAACGTTTCGAACGTCTTTTGAACGTCTTTTGAACAATTTGGACGTATTTGAACGTTCAATAAAATGTTTTACAGTCTTAATTTATTGTGTAGTTTAAAGCTAAATCAGCCTCAGCCTAAGTTGTTCAAATGAGTTGATTTTCAATATATAATAATAATAATATTAATACATGATTGATAAGCTAAAAGAGTCATGATATAGACTTTAGACAATACAGATGAATCTCATCGACTGTCAATTCACACTGTATAAACAGTTAAACTCGTGTAATTCGAATCTTTGAAGGGGCTCAAAATACGTTGGAAATTTGGAGTTTTTCAACCATTTCAATACTAAATACTAAACCCTAAAGGGGTCGAATATGTTTAATTTAAGTTTGTTTTCGAATTATTAGAGTTCAATTTGTACAAATCATGACTTGAAAACACTGTATAACCTTACAGTCAGTTGGTATAAATAATCATAATTTTTTGCGGTAAAAATAAGTAAAAGTTTTTAGTTCTTATTTAGATAACTAAGGAATAAACTATTTCAATGAAACGTAATTGCTTGTAAAAATAAACTCGAAGAATTTATTTATAAAGTTCTAAATTGTCATGTTATATCATGGAAGTATACAACAGATAAAGTTCAACTGCATTGAAATTCTTCGGGACAATGCTTGTAACCTTTTGTTTTGTAAACAATAAGAAAACGACATCAAGACTGTACTTAAACGCTTAATCTATATACATTGACGCAAATAGGTATGTTTATAATATTTTTAAAATGTAGTATTTTGAAGGTTCTCCAATAATATTCAAGAAAAACATTAAAAATGGCGCAACGAAATGGCAAAGAGCAACTTTTTCATAAACTTCATATTAAATGAATGGAGTACTACAATTATGAATGAAATTATGATAAACAGCTAATAAAACTTTAAACTTTATTTATTTAGAGAACAATTTTTTGATTTTTTAAAAATTGTTTTCGTTGTCTTTTTAATCAAATGTCGTGTTATGACTTGAAGCAAAAAAAGAAGCTTAAACTAACATATGCTTTTAAAATCGAATGGTTCTATTTAATTACCGAGTTTTTATAAACCTTTTGCTGGATAATTGCAATTACTATTGGTAAAAACTTTTCAGCATATCTCTAGAATAATTCATTTTTTGATGTTTTAATAAAAATAATTTCAGTGAATTTTGTTCAGTGAAACTTGTTTTTATTTTACAAGCATACTCCCAATACGACTTGAAATCGCTTTGATGGTTGCGTCTCGATAAACATCCATTTGTTTTATACTTCTATTTATATATATATATATATATATATATATATATATATATATATATATATATATATATATATATATATATATATATATATATATATATATATATATATATATATATATATATATATATATATATATATATATATATATATATATATGTATATATATATATATATATATATATATATATATATATATATATATATATATATATATATATATATATATATATATATATATATATATATATTCTATGGTTATATATATATATACTTTTGCAAACAGACATAAATGACGTACATACACAACTACATGACGAACTAATCAGTACACTATTGATACTGTAAAACAGTTTGAAAACTAGTAAATATAAAAAGATATTTTGTGCGTCATTTTTTGAGTATTTAATAATGGTTTAAAACATAAAAGTTAATTTTATATTTTGGTGCTAGCGCTGTTGTGGTGGAAAGAGTGCAAAATATTGAGAAAAAAAAAAATGAAAGGTAAACGTAAGCCAAAACTTGTTTAATATTTATAATGATAAGCTATGTATATAAAATGACTCAAATTTTAATCAAAAACTATATTTGTATTATAGATTTGCTATTATTATGTATTGCTTTTGTCAGCTTGCTGGATATTTACCAATGTTGCGAGTGTGTTTACCATTATAACGGTTGTATTATTAACAAAGGAGCATCAAATGACAACGAAACTTGTAAATGTGTGTACAGAGGAGAATATTGCACAAAAACAGCAATCAAAGAACTACATCTGTGCAAAGTTAATACTTGTACAAGCATTACTGTTGTATGCCGGCTTTATTATGCAAATGTTTGTAAAAAAGGCTGCACCACCGTTGAGTGTTGTAATGCTGGAGGCGGTGACTGCCGTGGATACAACAAATAGTTGTATGAAATGGTTTAACAACTTCCTTAAGTAAAATTATACTGAGCTAATAAAAACTTTTCGCAAATTTTGCCTTATATTTATGTTAATTTTTTTAAAACACAAGTAAAAAATAATAATTTCATAATATTTTTTTTCAAATTTCACATAATTGTCCTTACTAAATAAACTGTATATACCCATGGTATTTAATATAATTAATTGACATTATAACATATTTTAATGTTAGATTTAATTTAAATTACTAGTCTATTCTCTCCGAAAGTAGACAAGTAGGGAACAGTGAGGTAATGGCGAACGCAGGGTAACTCCAAACATGGTCAAAACGGCATGATAAAGAAAGATAGTTGACAGTTTCTATTATCTACTGAAAGGGGTCCTATTCTCAGTTCCAGACGTGGAGTAGTGAAGCTGCGCTTGTTGTTCCCAATAAATTGATCCTAACTTTTTCTGATAATTTCATGTAATTTCTTGCTAAAGAAAAATTCCTGTTGTAGCTACTATGAATACAAAACCACTTCTTTTGTTATTGTTGTTGCATAGTACTATAATCAAGAGGTTTTTAACAGGTATTATATTTTGGGTATATCAATACAACCTCAATAGATCAATCGTATTTTATGTTTGTGTCCGCGAGGAAATAACGAACGATCTTGGTGGGGTAATTTAGAACGTCTAAAGTGTCATTTTAACACTGACGTCAGGCGGCTAGAACTTTAATGTTTCTTACTTTTGTCACATTTAACTTTAACAGATTGTTAGATACGTAATTTCATTTAATAGAGTAAAAACCAGATTTAGGAAAGAAACATTCCACTATTATTACTAGTTCGCCAATGAAAAATATTTTAGAGCAAAAAAAAAGTAAGAAGGAAGAAGTAAAAAATACTGTAAAAGCAAAAAGAGAAAGAAAAACTTTAATCTATAAGAGGCTGATCATGTACCATCATGTAAATTAAAAAGAGTTAGAGATGATATAAAACTTTTTTGTTTACTTTGCAAAGAAAAATTTAAGGATCCACCCACAGAAGACTGGATCATGTGTCATAAATGGCAGTCCTGGTTGTACAAAAGTTGACAATTGGTGAAGGCACGTCCCGGGGTTTTGTTTGTGATTTTTGTTTGTAAAAATTTTTTAATTTTTTAATTACTAAAAAATGAGTGTTATAAAATAGTGTTGTTGTATTAAGTTGCAATGAAAAGTTTCATGGAAGACTGGATTATGTGTTATAATTGTAATGCCTGGTGGAGGTGAGCATATTCTGAGATTTTGTCTGTGACTTCTGCACTTGGTTATAACAATTAGCTTTTGTTTTTTATTACACAACATTACCCCAAGGTAAGGCGATTCCAAACACCAATGGTTTTATTTTTGCCCAAAATTTTTTATTTTATAATAAGATACACAAATATTGCTTTTGGGAGTTTGTGACTGAATAGTTAGAATAAATAATAAGCAATAATTATGATCAATTTTGTATGACTGGTGTCTTTATTTCGCATACTCGCTTAGGTGTTCGTCAATACCCCACTCTCCTCAACATTTATACTCTACCAGAAATACATATAATGGAAAGCTTAACGTACCGCTTTATAAAACTCAGAACTATTAAATCAGTGCGTTTGTAAAATGGAACAGAAGTCTTGCATGAGTTCGAAAAAACTAAAATACCTTTCCTTCATTTAAACAAAATTAATTTAAAAAAATTCTGAAAAACATTTTATTCTAACTTTTTGACATTATTATCTCTTGTTATTAAAATATGCTACTAATTTTCTTTTCGTTAAAACTACAATTATTATCAGAACTTTTTATTTTTTTAAATTTTTTTATTAGTGTAACTATTTTAATGTATGTTCTATGTCTAATAAAATAAACCCATCAGTACTGTTGCCAATTAGGTATTCTCAGCAACCAAATAAAAATATGACTTTTGTAAATATTGTGAATTTCATAGTGTACATAGTGTACATAACACGAATAAAAACTGCTAAAATATCGTTAATGTAAACATAGGTTGTAAAACTAAGTACCATAGCAACCAAATTGTAATCAATGTGTAGTTTGAGTACGACTGACTACACCTATTAAACTAAGTGTTTTCGCTTCCGTACATGTTAAAGAACAGTGCATGAGCATTTATTTGTTGTCCCCAACGGCACCAAAAAAAATGCACTTAATTTTGCTTATTTAAGTAAAATAATTAAACTTTTGTGTTATAACTTTTCTAATATTCATTTATTATATTAAAATAACTTAAGCATCCATAACTGTGGATAAGTATTTGCTTTTAACATGGGCGTAAATAAGTGGGGTTTTAGGAGGGCTATAGTGCCCCCTCCCACACTTTTAGTTTAATGGACTTTGTTATTTCTGTGGAAGTACCTTATTTAAAGAAAGTATGAAAACCATAAAAAAACTTTATCATGCTTCCTACTTTAGCCTCCATTACATGGTCTTTTAGCTCTCTAGCTTCTATTGTTTATATTTTCATTTCTAAGGCTTAAGTAAGAGCTCTTTTTGACACCAAAAGCTGTAATCATTTATAAGGAAATCATTATTTATATATAATGATCATATATGGTCATACATGACATTAAAACTTAACATACTACCTTCTAATAAAGGAGTCTCAATGGCGGATCTATCCTAGTAAAATTTTAGCTAAGTTTACTTTATTTGGTATGGAATACTCAAATTCTTGCAAAGAAGTTATACTTAGTAGAGGTTTTCTACAGTTGCGCAAAAGTATTAATATCAATTATGGTGGGAAAAAAAAGTCATTAAAAATCTGTTCTTTAACAAGTGTTAAAATGAAAGCTAGGACTCATTTGTCTTTTCTAGCTCCTGAATGCAGACCAATTACTTCACCTTTCAGACAATATAACTCAGAAGACAAAACCTTTATGGAACAAGAAACAAAAAAAAGTTTGGGTTAGAAACTCTAAACTCTCTCCTTGGCGATCAAAAATTGTTATTACTAGGAATCAGAGACATAAGAAGCGCATGGTCATTGATTACTAACAAACAATAAAGCACTTTACACTACTTGATGCTTATCCTTTACCTTCATTTAATATTAAGGGCATTTGATTTAAAAAGTGCCTATCACCAAATACCTCTCCAAGAAAGTTTCAAATATTATACTCTCTGTGAATCCAATGGACAGCTTTTCCAATTCAAAAAGAACTCCTTTTGGTTTTACTAATGATGTTGCGCAATTTTAAAGGATCATGAATAACTTTATAAAAGGAAAAAAACTAGATGACACCTTTGACATTTACATAACTTGTATGTGGTACATCTATCAGCTTGTATATGGTTTAACTATCAGCTTGTATGTGGTACATTTATCAGCTTGTATGTAGTACATCTAAAAGCAAACGGATTTCAATTTAGAAAAATTTCTTGAAGCTTCAAAGAAAGCTATGTTTATACTCAATGAAGAAAGGTCTGTACCCGGTGGGAAATCGGCTAGCAAACAGCTAGCTGTAATCGTAAAGATAAAGACAGCGATTTGGCCACGAGAATCGGCAGCTTTTTTAAGTTAGTGAAAAGCTATCAATATTTGTAAATATAAAGACAGCAATTTGGCTATGAAAACAGCTAGCTTAATCAGCTTAGGACCCACAGGTTTTTGTAGCTAGCGTCATATCGTAATAAAATCGCTGTCTAAAAAAATTTAATATGCAGCTATCAACCTGCTATAGATTTGTAGATATTTTGTAGTTGGCTGCAAAGCTACGATATGTAGCTAGCGACACATTGCTACAAAATCGCAAAGTTTAAAGTTTAATTGTTCTCATAATTATAATAGGCTCAACACTAAAATTTTTTAAATATGTTAAAGACATTAGGAGAAAAAAAAAATAAGAAAAAAAAAAAAATTGCTATCAAATTGCTGTAAAGCTAGCTAATCGCTCGCTAGTTGCTAGCTCATTTCCCACCAGATATTGTCTATTTGTGTATAAACTTTTTAGGTTTCATTATAAAATGTGGCTCCCTTTCTTTTGATCTAAGTTTCTTAAAGTCATTAATTGAATTGCTTGCTCCTGCTGATAGTGCTTTCTTCCATCAAGTCCTTGGTATGTTATCATACTATTGCAAAAAAAAAATTTATCCTTTAACTTCAACTTCTACTTTTCCACTGTCTGCTAAAGCTATCAAGTACTTCATTGAAATGAAAGAGTTAATCTCTTAATCAGCTCTACAAGCTGTTCAAGAAAATATTCCTTTCGTGGAAACAGCTGCCTCTGATTACGTCATAGCTACTTTTCTCAACCAGGCTGGAAGACCAATTGTATTCTTTTCTTGCAAACTTTCTCCAACTAAAAAGAAACATTCTTTTCTAGAAAAGAAAATTAATGCTGTTGTTGAATCTCTGCAAAAATGGAAGCACTATTTAAAAGATCGTCGCTTTACTATTGTCACGGATCAGCGTTCTATCTCATTAATGTTTAATAACAACAAGAGTAGAAAAATTAGGAATGACGATTCTGAGGTGAAGGATAAAAACGTTTTCCTACAGCTATGATATAGTTTGTCGTCTTGGATAAAACAATTTTGTTGCTGATGCCCTCTCTAGATTTTGTTGCTCTATCACAAAAAATGGAGGGTCCATTTGTTGTGATAGAACAACAAAATCTAGAGAGGAAACTCTTATTGAACTACATGAATCTCTTTGTCACCCTAGAATTACCAGAATATCTTATTTTGTAAAATTAAAGAATATGCCTTTTTTAATTGACGATGTAAAAAAACCTTGTTATTATGTAAGTAATTTTAATCTTTAATTCTTTTGAGCAATAAGTATGGATTTTAAAGGAACTATTTTGTCTTCATCTGTTAAAAAATATTTATTAACAATTGTAAATGAGTTTTTGATGTTTTCTTTTGTATTTCCTTGACGTTATATATTTACTTTAACGTAATAATATGTTCAACTCAGTTTTTCACTTTATTTGTTTGTAATTTTCTTAATTCTTGCGGTGTCAATATGAGGTGAACTTCTCGTTAAAATCTTCAGGATAATTGTCAATGTGAGAGGTACAACGGCATAGTTTGGAACGGAATTTTCTTTTTCTCAAATCAAATCAGTTTCTTATCATAAGTTGGGAAAATGTATTACTTGATGACCTTTATTCAAATCGTTTCTTACACTTCTACAAATGCTACACTTTACAATCGACTACCTGGTTTCAGTTCATCTCATGGAAATTCTGTTCCTATATTGTTGATAACTTCCGGTAGTGTATTGCTTTACAGGCATGTTAGACACAGAAAATACAAACCTCTGGTTGATGAGATTGTTTTAGAGATACATAATCAATATCCTCATGTAAGAATGCCCGATGGACGTGAGACTTATGTTGCCTCAAGACATCTTGCTCAATGGCTGATATGTTTAATGATAATGTCACATATAATAACTGCAAAGAAAACTCCAATAAGCCAGGTACTAATTCTTTGCTTGATCCTAGTAAAACCATCATTAAACCTACTAGTTTTATGAAAAACCTTTAATCACAAAAGGATTTAAACTTTTCAACTCTCTCTCCAACTAATCCTAATGGAATTTCAATTGAAGAACCTGTCCTTCGTTTTCAGGAAAAACCCTAATCCTCCTATATTTGAACTACTCGTAAATTCTTTTATTTAGTATGGTAGAATGTGCTGACTCTTATTACAACCCAGTAAGCACAGATTGTTTTTAAAACGTTTAAAAAACGTTAATAGTTGTTTTAATAAGTTTTTTAGACGTTTTAAAAATGTGCTGTGCTTACTGGGATTACTATGAGTACTATTGTGTTTATTATGTGTAAACTAATCTGATTGTATATTTTTAGGTGACATGTTATTTATGTGGAGAAAAAAGTCTTCTATGCTGGCTTTAGTATTAATTAACTAGTACTAATTAACTTTAGATTTTGTAGTTTTTAGTTCTTGCGATAGCGCGTTTGCCATGAACTCGTACAGATGCAACTTTTCTTGTTTTTAATTTTTTTTTTTAATTATTTAATTGAAAATGATAAAAGATGGACGAAAATATTTAACTATTCCAAAAATAAACACAGTTTATATGAAAATTTAGCTATTCTTGATGAGTGTTTGTGTTGCTCTGCCCTGATATTAATATAATGCAATCATTTCTGGACAATTGAAAAATCATAATTAGTTTTTCGGAATCACTAACAGTAAAGTTTTATATGAAACATATATCTTGGTATGAAATTTCTAATACAGTGTTGGTAAACCAAATTTAAATATTTCCAAAAAACGTTATATTGTCAAAAAATAAAAGCTTTATTACAAATATATAATTTCGCCTGATTATTCGGACTGCTAGAAACTATACTTGTTTATAAATTAAAAATAAAGAAATATTTAACTCGTGCATTATTATTTTCCGCTTTTATCCTGATTTACTATTATATATATTATTATATATATATTATTAATATATAGTTCATTGGAGAAATTAAAATAAATAAAGTAGTAAAAAGTAAATAGTTTAGTATAACCAACTTGGATTTGCCACTTTTTCATTATCACACAGTCATTTGCTTTGATATTTCTTATCATGTTGTCTTTAAACAAGGACTCTACATACTTTGATTCGTAAATAATTATGATTTTTCTGAATTAAACTTTAATTCAGATTGTACTTTAATTTAAAGTGCAGTCATTTTTAATGAGATTTACGAAAAGATTTACAAAAGCACCGTAAAAGTCAGATTATTTTGTTGTTTTACAAAAAATTCATAAAAAATCTGACGATTTGGGTATTACTTATAAAGTAATAACACAAAAACATATGATTTAAATCAAATAATTGCCTACTAACAATTACTTTAATTATCTTATTTTATAAAGGTTGATTTTCTCTGCTATTTTTTACCCTCACTTTTGTTTAGAGTTATTTAGAAATTTGGTAGTTTTGCCATTAATTATATTTGCTATCTATCAAACTAGATTTTGTAATCATGTTGTAACAACTGTTTTTATTGTAGCTGTTGTCTTGGTTAGGCAAGATTAAAAAACTTTTATCAAACTAATAGTTATTTTTCTTGTATAACTTTTAGCAAAACTTAATCTATGATTTCTTTCTTTAATTTTACTTTGTTCTTTTGATACTGGTACATTATTTGCCCATTGTTTAGTGAAGTTAATTTGAATTTTTTTTATCTAATATGCATGTTGTCCAAATATAAAACGGCTTGTTATTAAATATTTATAAAATCTAATATAAAATAAACATGAACTTTAAAAAATTTAAGAAAAAAATAATAAGGCCATACCTTTTATTATAATCAAAATATAGGACAATCTGTATTTAAAGGCAACATTAGGTGTATAAAAATGTTTGCTAATTGAAAATAATATATTCTTAACATTTAAAATAAGAAACAATTTATTTTAAATTTATAACATATGCCATCTGTTTATATCTCTACTCTAAAATTTTATTCAGAATTTTTTTTATTTTCAAGTGTTTTTTAAATTTAGAATACATTTAGAGGTATTGAAACGCAATATTCAAAAATTGTTATTTTTAGGCCACTTTAGTATTCATGTTTATAAAAAGATTCTCGGTATTTTTTGTAGACATATTTGTAATAATATAATAATAATTTTATTTACAAGTATTACAATGACACTTATACATTTTCAGGTTCTTAAACATTTTGGAAAAAAAGTTCTTCAAAAGTAGGTCAACCTGTCACTCAAAAATAACGGTATTATATAAAAGTCCTATAGCAGTCAGCATTATCAGGTGGAATTCCACCTGATGATGCTGACAGCTATAGGTCAGCTAAATATTGTAAATATATAATAATTCTAAAATATATTTAAAACAAAAATTTTATCCACAGCCTTTATAATCAAACTCATTAAACATAAAAGTCTCTAAAATTGTTTTATAAAAAACTAATACAAAAATAAATTATAAAAAAATTGTAAAAAAGCATTTTTTTAACTTTTAGATAAAAAATAAACAATATTTTTTTATGCAATAAAATTTAAAACAATAACTATTAAATAATTTTTATTTTCAAAGTTTTCATATAAATTCATTTGATTTTAGGTTGACTGACTTTTAAAGAGCTTCTTTTTTTCAAAATATTAGAGGTTTTTAGAGGTATAAAAAGTTCAGCCCACCTAAAAGAATACACACATATTGTAGAACAATTACGCCATATTTAAATATCTTTAAAATTTGTTCGAGTCAAATATGTATTATTGAACAACCCCCTCTAATTAAGGGGATTTTTATTTTGTTCGTTACTTTTAATTTAAGAACATTTAAGCTTGAATTCTATTGACAAGTTTGGATTTAATTTAAGATATCTTTTTGAATTTTTTTTTTTTTAATTTTGTGCCCAACCTCAATTACTTGTGAATAATTGTTAAAATTATGATGCTATTATAATCAACCAAAAGTTTAAATTTATGTTTGACACTAAAAAAATTCCATAAATAAGTAACATAATAATGCTAGCAAATCTTGTCTTGCTTTATATGTTTTATCCCTATATAGTAAAATTACTACAAAGTAATTTTTAGTCAAAAAATATGAAATAATTTCAAACTTTAAATAGTCAGAATTTTTGCTATTATTATTTTGATATTAGAGATTATTTTATGTAATTTAATATTTATCGATGAATATAAATTTATTAAAGAATTGTAAAAAAAAAAATGTGTTTAGGACAGCTGTGGCTTGGATTTTAAGGCTTTTTTGTTTCAAGGTTTCACTCTTCGCAATTTTTCAGCTTTCTTATTTGACATAAGTTTTAAACATCAAAATATGGTGTTCATGCAGTATTCTACTTTTATAGTAGTTTTGCTATATATGCATGAGCAGAAAACAAGTTTTATTGTAAAAATTTCAAGCTTTTCCTTTTATTTATGCTTTTATCTATGTATGTAAAATATAAATGGAATCTGAAATATACATAACAATAAAATGGTTTATTTGATATTAATGATATGGAATTTTATGGCTAACATAATAATGCTAGCAAATCTGTATTTATATTATCATTAAATATGTATATGTAAGGCGTAATTTTTAGCATAAAAATTACGCCTTATATATACATGTTTGTAAATTACAAAACATAAACATAGATATATTAATAGTTTGTATTATATATATAAATAAACATAGATATATTAATAGTCTGTATTATATATATATATATATATATATATATATATATATATATATATATATATATATATATATATATATATATATATATATATATATATATATATATATATATATATATATACAGGGTTCGTACTGTACCTGGAAAACCTGGAAAATCAGCCAAATTTGGATAAAGTCATGGAAAACCTGGAAAAGTCAGGGAAATTTTTTTTTTTCTAGGTAGTCAGGGAAAAGTCAGGGAATTCTGATTGAGAAACTACTCATTTTACAAATAAGCTATTATGTTTCTGTTGGTGCTTCCCATTTATTTTGACAATTAAAAAATACACTATAGTGTTTCACACCTTTACCACGCATATAATATTTTATTTTTAAAAATTTGACCACTTTTTTAAAACTTGAGTATTTTTAAATGTATTTTAATAGGTAAAACGCTCTTATTACTAACAATTGTTTTAAAATATTAATCAATAAAAATATTTAATTTAAATTGTCTATGGTTATTATTTTATTTTTACAATAATAGTGTATGTTTCTTTTTTTTATTTATTATAAAAAAAATAATTCCTTTTTTTTATTTATTATAAAAAGACTAATTTTTTATGATCAATTTCAATCGTTTAAAACTATTTCTGTAATTTATTCTATAAACAACAGCATCTTTAACTTTAAACATTTTTGTGTCTTAAAAGTGAAAAACTTCTTTTTTTATTTAAGTTACATAAGTTACAGAAAGTTTCAAAGATTTTCAACTTTGTTGAAAACTTTTGAAAGTTTTTATTAAAAAAGTAATGGTTTATGTTCGAAATATAATCAGTAGTTAATAATAAAATATAATTATTAAATATAATTGAAAATATAAAATATAATTATTAAATATAATCGAAATATAATCAGTAGTAAATATGATCAATAGTTATGATCGAAATAATAAACGTCTTGATGATTTTTACTTCAAAAACATTGACATAAAAAAGTATCCAGTGTTGTCATCTGTCATTAAGTTGGTTTTGACTCTGAGTCATGGACAGGCATCAGTTGAACAGGGGTTTAGTGTCAATAAGGATGTGGTTACCGATAATATATCAACAGATGGTATTGTTGGACGGCGTCTTGTGCGTGATTTCATGCTTACCAACAACCTCAACCCCCACTCTGTCCAGATTACATCAGAAATGAAAGTTGCCTTTACATCTGCTCATCAAAAATACCAGATCATGCTTGAGGAAGAGAAGTCAAAGAATAAAAAACATGCTATGTTAGATCAGAAAGCCATTATTTTGTCTGAAATTGAAGAGCTAAAATCTAAAATGGGTTTCCTTACAAAAACTTCATTGATGCTAGAAAAAGAGTTTGTCTTAACTGTGGAACAAGTGGAAAAAGAAAACAATTTATCATTGGTCAGCAAAGCGAATGCTTTAAAAGGAAAAGCGAGGAGAAAATGAAAGACGTAGCTAAGTTGCAGGAAACATTATTGATATTAGAAGAGAAGAGAAAGAAACTGAATTAACAATAGTTGTTTTTTGACAATTTGTTTGTTTATATAAAATATTATTTATGTTGACATTTATGCAAATATGGCTAATTAAAAAACTTTAATAATATTTTCAATATAAGATTTTGCTTAAAAAATATATGCAATTTAAAATTAATTAAAAGTTTTTTTTTAATGTTTCTAAGCATGTTTTGTTATACTGTGCTATTCTTATCTAAAGGTATTATTGAATTAGCGAAGGTACAGCTACAAATAGTGATAAAAAACAACTAACCCAAAGTAGTCTCTGTTATAGACCAAATATTGCTCAAAATGTTGAAAGATATCTACATAGACATTTTAGTTTATTTTTGTGTTAGTGAAAAATAATTATATATAAAATATTTTATGTGCATAATATTTAGATTTTCTTGAAGATCATCTGAGACTAAATTTTATGTGCATAATATTTAGATTTTTTAAGAAGCTCACCTGTTGTTTATTCTTAGTCATCCTTAATAATATGCATAATAAAATCTATACTAACATCCAACTTAACTAATAGCTAAGTTTTATAAGTTTTGTCTTTTTAAGCATGTACATTTTAACATTTTCATTACAGTAGTAATTTTTAACATTTTATAAAAACCATTGCAAATGTTAAAAATGGTCAGGGAAATTCATCTGATTTTTCAAAAAAGTCAGGGAAAAGTCAGGGAAATTTTTATAAATATGTGGCTACGAACCCTGTATATATATATATATATATATATATATATATATATATATATATATATATATATATATATATATATATATATATATATATATATATATATATATATTTAATAAATATTTATATATAATACATATTTATAATTCGAGTTTTTTTTTTTTTATAGAATGATAAAAAGACCAGGCAGGAATGAGAGTGAAGAGGAATTACTTCAGTTTCAAGAAGAATTTTTAAAGAAGTCTGAAAAACCATCAGTGACAATTAAAAAATTAAAAAATGACAAAGCCAAAGATTTTAATAATGAAATTGATAATAATAAAAATGAAAAAGGTACACTTTATTTTTTTTCATCTAATCTTTTATTTTAATTAATCCATTATTAGGCCATAAGAACTTAAGAAAAATTACTGTTTAATGCTGACCTTATTTTTTATAAAAAGCATGGTCTTAATTTTTTTTTTAAAGTTTTTGTTCAATGAATGTAAATTAATCTTACTCATTTAAATTAATCTTACTCATGAATAATAGCTTAAAAACCATATGAAAGTCTTATACTTTAGTTACAAAATTAAAAATGTTGCAACATTAAAAAACTCACAACCTGATTATATTTTTTTGTTTGGATATTGGGATCTAATTAAAAAAATATTTAAAATATCAGCAATTGCTTACTTTATTTGCTTGATTTCTTATAGATTTTTCAAAAAAAAAAAAAGAATAATGAAAAATTAATTGCTGCCATACTGCCATGCTGCCATAATACAAATTGCTGCAGAATAATGAAAAAAAGTTGCTGTCATAGTAGATGCAGCGGCCTTGCATGTTCTACCTATTTTTCAGTCTATGTATGTACTGAAGCACCTGAGAGCAGGTTTTTTTTTTCTTTTTTATCTTTATTCACTCCCAACAAGGCTGCAAGCAACCATTGTTAAGTTAGGATTTACTAGGAAAAAAATAATAGTAATAGTGTTATAGAGCAAGGAAACTGTTGACAGAAGACTTAAAAAAGTTGTAGGCTGTATGAGTCAAGAAAGCATGAAGATTGGAGAGAGTTATTAAGGGTTGAAGTGCGGGGGAAAAAACTAGGTGAAAAAAAGCTTTTAGAGTATGCAGGGACAGATGCATTAAAAAAATGAGACTTTGCTGAATGATGAGTCAAGCAAAAATTTAGTTGATGGAACTAGAGATAATAGCTTCCTTAAGCAGCAACCATAATAGTATTTGTAGAAAAGAGAAAGAGGTGCAAATTTACAATAATGGAAAAGAGACTTAAGGTTAGCAGATAGACCACGTCCAACTACGTTTACAATGCCATTTTGGACCGTTTCTAGAAAAGAAAGGTCATCATTACATGAAGTAGCCCAAATATGACAACAGTATTCCATACAAGGACAAATAAGAGATTTGAAGGTGTAAAAAAGTGAAATCATTGAGAGGGTTACAATATAGGAATGTCAATAGTGTTGCAATAGTTGTTTGCAGTAAATAACTGAGTTTTATTGGAATTAAAATTTACACACCACTGCAGGCCCCAATCTGTGAAATGTGTTCAGATTCAAGATTGGCAACCTGTTAAAGTCTTTGAAAAGAGATAACTTTTTGTTAAAATAAAATTTTAAAATTAAGTCACAAGCAAAAAGAGGCAGTTCAGATGTAAGGTTGTCAGGAAGATCATTAATGCAGATAAAAAACAAAACATGAGCAAGGATAGAACCTTAAGGTACCCCAGAAATTTTGGAAATAAAGAGTTTTAGCCTTCTAGAATGACTTTAATAAAGTGGTTAGAAAGAAACGATAATCTCAAAAACTTTACCAGATACACCATATGAAGCAAGCTTATGTATTAAAGACCAGCATGTTAAACTTTGTTAAAAGCTTTAGACACATCAAGAGCAAAAGCCCGAGCCTCACTGTCTCTATCTAATGTATGGTAAAATCTTTTAACTAATCCATATTCGAGGGAACAAGAGTTCATGGTTTAGGAATCGTTCTTAAAGTATGTCACGCTATTTTCAACCCCCTCCCCCCCCTCCTGTCACAAATTGTCATGTAATTCTGCACCCCCCTAAAAAGTGTCACATATTCCCCCCACCCCTTTTTTTTAACAAAAAAACTAACAAATTATTACAGAATTTTCAACATTCTAACAATAGTATTTAACAGAATAAAAAAGAATCAATTTAACTAATTTGGAATACCTTCTTAATTTATTGGAAAAGATCGTCATAACAAAATAAAATAAAAATAATTCTTTTATTTAAACCTCATGTTTTTGATGGAACTGGAATACATTTGCATTAAGAGAAATTAAAAATGTTGCATTTATACCATAATATAAATTATGATCCGCTAACTAGCTACTATCCTATTTGCATTTTTATTTGATAATAATCTGTGTTTCTTATTGGCTATTTAAAGCATGAGCAAGTCTATTTAACTTAGTTATCATATATTATATATTTATTTAGTTATATATTCTTGCTTAAATGTAAATAAAACTAAAACTCTAGTGTTACAATGTCATAAGATTTTACAATGTCATAAGATTTTAAAAAACAAATAGTACAAAAGATAATATATTCCATCATATGTTTTATTTACTTATTTAAACCCTCCATTTAAAATTCCAAACTTAAATTATACGTTCGTAATTTAATGATTTTGCATCACTATGCTTCTATGTCTTCAAAAACGTGAATGCAGTTTTTGCAAATTTTTTCAACTAATTAAAACTATTTAAAATATGGCGATACACATAACATGATAAGTGTGAGTAAAATTTTCGACAATCTGAAACACTTATTTAATCGAATGAGTAAATATGTAGAAAATAAACTGTTATGGTTAGGGCATCCAATACCGGACCAAAAATTGAATACCAGTTTTTCGGTATTAGATTGAGTGAAAACCGAAATACCGGTATTAAAACCGGTATTTACTATTAGTAAAAAAACATTTAATAAAACCCAAAATAGTTAATTATTACTAAAATAGGCCCGCAACATAAATTATTTAAGGTTTCGTCATTTAAAGATGATCGTATTTTTGTACATAAAATTCCTGATGAAGAGAAAGACCGTTCAGCTTCTACGCTAGTTAGGGAATAGTTCAAATATAATCATATACCAACATCAAGTTGGTACCACGTGTATCGTCTTCCTCAAATATAGAAACTTCTTTTCACTTTACTTTAGTCAAATCGTTAATATTTTGCTTTATTTTTGGTACTGTTTTCATTTTTATCTCATTATTTATGGCCATGTCTAGCTGTTCCTGTAATGTCAAGCTGAAAGGTTCGTCTTCACACATTATAGAGTCTTCGTCTTCGTCTATTTCTGATATGAATGCTGCAGTTTCAGTTTGCTCGGATGAGAGCCGCTGGATAAGATGAACAATTAAATTAACCAAAGCAGTTTTAGTTAGCCGATCAAGTATGATATCTGAACTTATTCTGAAATTATTCTGGGCTTGATCACCTTTATAAAGATATTGTATGAGATAAAATATATTTGTGCGTCTTTCTTTTATTCTTTTAATCAAGGAGGTTTTCATATTTTAACTTAATGGTCCTCCACCCAAATTTTGCAGCATGAATGCCAGGGTAGCATTAGCTGATAGTAGGTTAGCATCTCTCCGACATAAAGTCTCTACAGCCAATTTCACTGGAAACAACATAGAAACTGTTGATAACATCAATTCTAGTTCAGATTCCATAAAATTAATAGCTGAGTTTAAGTCAATCAGGGCTTTTTGAATAGAATTTTTTAGTTTATAAAAACGCTCTAGCATAAAAAATAAGCTGTTCTATCTGGTCTTATTATCTAATATTAATGACAGTTCATTACTGTGTTCAGTTTTTACATAAACTTGAAGGATTTCATTTTTGGTTGGCGATCGCCTGAACAGCTTACAACTTTTCCAACTTTGGTTATCAATGCAGCCAAATTATTTGCAAGTTCATTTGAAATTGGCGAGTTCTGAAAAATCCTTAGTCCGTCTAAATGCTCTTCATTATTGTCATCGAAAATCTCACCCGCACTATCTTCATCAGATTCAATATAATCATCAGTCAATTCTACAGTTGTTGTTTTATACAAGACGTCAACCACAGCCAATTGGATTCCATGGGTTAGACAAAATTGCTGGTCAATGGACATTAATCGTCCTACTTTCTTCATAACGGAAGCACCATCTGTAGTATAATACAATATAATACATACAATATCACGATCAATATTTAGGTTGTGTTCTTTCTGTATGTTGTTAATTAACTTAACACACATTTCTGCTGGGAAATGTCCATTAACTCTCGCTAAACCCAAATTCCAAAATCTATTTCGAGTATGAAAATTAATGTTAAAATAACGTCTATTTTTTAAAGTCTACTCGTCAAACGTAAGACTAAACCGATTTCCTTGCTGTTGAAGTTCAGATAATTCTTTTATTATTGAGTTTCGAATTTTAATAGAATATTTCATAACTATTTGATACAGATACAGATTTCTCTGTGTCAAAACACGCACGAGTCTATACTGGTATTGAGGGTTCGGTATTGGTATTCAAAAAACATCCGGTATACCGGGATACCGGTTTTTGGTAGAAAATATTACCAAATGATAGAAAATATTTTATCAACCCCCTTGTCACAAATTGTCACAAAATTATGCCTCCCTTCCCCTCCCCTCCTTCCTATTAGCCTGACATACTTTATGGGTGACCCCTTACATGTCAGAATAGAAAATAAAAAGTTGTGTTAGAGAAGAGATATTGCTTTTGATGAAATTCCAAATTCACTAACAAGACGTAACATCTTTTCTTTGTGCAGAAAAATGACAGGAAATCTTCCAGTTTGTGGTTGGTTGCATTTAGCCTCATTGTAAAAGAACAGCAAATGCCCTGACAAAATTTAGGACAAAAAAATAAAATGCAATTATCTGGAAAAAATGCTGAATGATATTATTAAAAGAACACAGAATGACAATCCTGCTAAGGGAATATGGAATGTTTATAGTAACAAGGCAACAGTTTGGGTAGATGCTAGTTCAATAGCACTAGGCGTGGTTGTCAAGGTTGGTGGCATTATAATCGAAAATGCTTGTTGGTTAAGAAAAGATGAACTAACTCATAAACATGTGCGAGCTTGATGCAGTAGTTAAAGGACTAAATATAGACCTTAACTGGAAAATGGAAATTGTGCGTATCTGCACTGATTTGAAAGCGATATTCCATTAGGTTACGGACGCACTCATTGAAAAATTTAAATTAAGGACAAAAGCTTCATTGAAGTGCTGATAAGAAGAAGACTTCAGAATATTGCAAATATAGTGGAA